TTTGAGGAAAGGTCAGAGAGACAAAGATTATCTGCATATTGCCCTCGTAAACATTTGGGAAGAAAAGTGCATTTTTTAAAATATGGCTGTATAGTTAGAATTGTCCTTGCTAGCACCAATAAACAAGATTGGGCGCTGCATAGACCACAAACACTTCATCAATTAATGCTTCTGGAATATAGCATTAAAAAAAAAAATTAAAAGAAAAAAGATAAGGAAAAGGAATTAAATCTGTGTTATTGAAAGGTGTAATTGTTATTAGATGAAACAAAAATAACATGTCCGCATGTGAAGAATGACAAAAACACTCCATTATTCTTCTCTTTTGCTACTAGATAACTTTGCAGTAGAAAAAGAATTCTTGTTTTGCAAGCATGTCCTCACTCTCCAAGACACACAATTTGCTGCTGTCTTTTATCATTTACGTTGTGAGAAACACACTCTCAAATAAAGCCTTCTCTAGATTTAAGGACTTATGTGAGCCTACCAACAGGAAGATGAATATCAAAAGATCTGAAAGCTGTTTCAAATGAAAGAATTGCTATCATAAGATAATACATAAGGCAGATGATGTTCCATATCATGAAATGATACGTTAGTAATTATGTACAAGCTCAGCACAATCATTACCTCGGCTTCTCAGGGTCCTTTTGTCACTCTCATTGAGGTCCATGCTGCATACCAATGCTCCCTGTAGCCTCCAAACCTAACTACTCTTAATATTTTCTAGTATTTTTTAAGAACTCATGAAAACATCCCAGTCTCCATGCCTCAACTTCCAGAACAGCTGAAAAGTACCTTCCACCAGATGTACTGCTTCTGCTATTTCAAGGCCTGAAATTCTGTTCTTAAATTTTATGCTAGTTCATCCTCTGTGAATTCCATTTATTTCTGCTGGGGTCTTTTATCATGCAAACCTAGAACTTATTTTCCAAAGTACTCCTCATTTGAAAACTTCTTGCTGCTAAAGGATCAAGGAGGACAAAGGAACCCTTCCACAGTAATGTACTTTTGTGCACAATCACAGATTGATTCACTAGAATTCTCTTTAGCAGGAATATCATCCTAGAAAATACAGGGAGATTCTGTTTTATTTTTACATTTTTCCCCTGCATTTTCTGCTGTTTTATCTACCAGAGTCCACAACAGTCCACAAGTTCACACTTCTCCAAAGGTACCTACAAAGGAATAGAAGGCAGGGGAGTTTGTTTCTCTGTGCATGTGTAACCAATATGATTATCATGACTAAGAAGTATTTGGCTTGGTCCTTGGTCCAAAATGTCTGTCTTCTGTCAAAATCCTTAAGGCTATAACAGCCATCACTTTGATGACATTCCAGGTGCTAAATAAGGAGGAATCAAAGCCTGACTTTTTGGACTTTTTGTTACCTGAGGAGCAAGCATCTTTGGCTAGAGGAGATTATTTTTCCTTTACAGTTTGTTTGCTGCAAAAGAGTAACTGCACTTTAAATGTAGCTGGTCACTTTAAGAAGCATCTATGAGAGGATGCTGTATTTTGAATCACATGAATATCCTAACAAATTAATTGTAAAACAGAGATTAGAGTGCAAGCAGCAATAGTTAAATGTGCATAAGGTTTTCAAAGGAGAATTATTTATAAGTTTGTTAATCTTTGAATATTACAGCACTAAAGGAAGAAAAGTGCAGTCATTCTCTGCAGTGCAGGGCTAGATATTTACTGTCAGTTAAACTGGCTTATTAGATGTGGTAGGATAAATGGACCTTTCTATAGTGCAATCAGAATCACTAATTCCTGCTGTGACTTCACAAGAACTGGTAGCAAGAAAGAAAACAAAACCCAGCAGAAATAGGCAGATCAGAGACTTTAAAATGAGGTGCCACAGTTCTTGAACACCAAGAAGAGCCGCCCTAAGCAAATATTGAATGTCCTAAAATTGTATCTCTAGTTTGCTCTGCAGGTCAGAAAGAGAGAGAAAGGTGGATGGGGTGGTCACCGAAAGAAATCAAGTTTATATTCTAGACTCCACTAGAAATTGTCTCTGCTGGCTGAGACATTCTGCTGCAGGAGGTTTCCTCATTAATATTGAATGTAGGATCATTTTAATGTCAGCTGCTTTCAGTATAAAACCATGGGATGTTTTGCACAGATTTCTTTATAACCATATCGAGCAGAACTGTGCACACAGGGCTAATCCCACCATATATTTGTGGTACTGCTTAGAGCAGTGTTGTGAATTATGGTCTACTAGGAAAAGGAATGGGAGATCAGTTAGAAGACCTTTGCAAGAATATACTTTGCATAAGTTAATAAAAAAGTTGGAGAAAGAGAACAAGCCTTATCTTACAGATTCATAGATTTTTGTTTTGGTAAAATCATACATGGCATTAGAGGTTAACACAGCACACTCCACTATTACCATCATCCACAGGCTGCTGCCTAAGGTATCTAATAAAAATGCTAATTGTTTTCTTTTACAACACTCCTGATTTCTGCTGATGGGGGTTTGGTTTGGGGTTTTTTTAAGCTAGAGGCTAAAACAAGTAATTTGCACTGGTTGATATTTTCAGTGACATTCAGGATCAGCCTAACTCACCTTCCACTGCACTCAGAAGTGAATTATTATTAATTGTGATTGAGACAGAGCTCAAGAACTTCTCATTCTCTCAGTATGTTCAGTTTATCCGACACATTCCTAAGATTTAAGTGTTGCAGATTCCTAGTTCTTTTCTCCTGTCCAGCTTGGCATTGAGAGCTTTTTAATCAGAACAAAAGATTGAAAACTGAAGAGTTACAGTATGTTCAACTCAAACTTCAGAGCTGAAGGAAGGCTATCCATGGAATAAAGAGCATTGCTCGTAAAAATGTTCACCACCACAAAAAGAACTCATTACGTTTGAATTCCATGCACTATGTAACAATTTGAAAAGGTGGGATTTCACAAGACAGACTAATGCTCCAGGACCTCCAGTCTCTACTCTCTTTGATTTACTTTACAGCATCACAAAGCCAACAAGAATACCCTATAGATAAATATGTATTATGTATAGTATTGGGGTTTTACCCTCGATAAGCTGCCTTCTGAATTATAGGTGTTGTCTTCATTTAATCCACAAAAATGCAAGGGAAGGCTTTTCCACACAAGTCAGCACCGTGGATTAAATGTAACTCCATTAAAAACATGCTTCTCACAGATACATGGCCTAAGGACACTGTTTGCAAGAGAAAAGAAAATCAGGGTTAAATTTATGACCTTGACCAAAGAGAGTTCCCTTTCTCTTCCCAAATAAAAGTAAATTTTACTGTAGTTGGGTAATACTTTTGTTTACCCTTTTAAATAAAGCCATTCTACTAATTTTATTTAGCTTTTCTAGTCCATTTGATTCCTAAATTTTTATATAAGTTCTTAAAAAAATTATATATTATTTATTGTGATCAAGATGAAGAATGGTTCACCATCCTAAAGATTCTATATGGTGCAGCTTTAAGTAATTATGCAAATACAAAAGTAAACTTAATTGTTGTCATAGAAACCAAACTGCTTGTCATTAAAAATCTAATATCTAATATCTATGCTTTTTTCCATGCCAGTAGTGGTCCAAACCCTCTACCTTTTACTGAAATACATCTAACAGTAAGATTTGTACAGGTACCCTGCAATTCAGAAGTGGCAGCTATAACTACATTAAGATATTGACGCTGAATATTTTTACTAAAACACTGTTGGTTATGTTCCAAAAGTGGATTTATTACAATTCCAAGCCAAACTCACTTGAAAGCTGGAAAATGCAGAAAAATATTCAAGGTTCTGAGCACATTAAATGATTACTGAATTTCCACGTTTTGATTTATCAGGAAAAAAAAAAACAAACTTGTTCTCTGAAGCAGTAACACTTGGGGTAAGAGTATTTAATTGACTTTGCAATGTTCATCCAGCGTAGACAGTGTAATTACAGATCACTCCAACACAATGAATAAAAAGCACTGTGGAACCCCTTTCTAGGAAGCCACTGACAAGGAAATCAAGAAGCAAAAAAAAAAAAAAACTATGTATGATAAAGGAACAAAAAATATTCTGGGTATAAACTAATTTGTGGGGGGAAATCATTTCCCCCTTTATTATTACATAAGACACTCTTCTCCCTATCCTTTCCTTAATTCCTGTATGAACTGCTGGAAAACTTCTAGAGGTATGTTTGATTCTCCTCACATACAGATTGATGGGGAACCAGTGGTTAAGGAATTTCTGTATAAATAGAAAGCAGACAGAGTCATTCCTCTGCTACCCACAGAAATAGTAGCCTTATAAAGGGGCAGTAATTTGCTTTAGTCTGTGGTTTGCAGAGATTACACTGGGGCACAAGTGCAGCTCACTGAATTCAACACTGAGAGTCATCCAAGCAAAGAACAAGTAAACACATCCAATTTTGTTTATGTTCTACTGTTCTAATCTGACTTTTCAATACATACTGAGAATCCTTTTAAAGAATCTTTCCGTGTAAGTTGACTTAGAACCTCTGTTGGTACTCCAAAGCAAAAATTTTAAAAATTAAAGTTTCTGGCTCCTCTGCCATCCCTTCAACCTTCCTCTTTTTTATTTTAAGCCTCTCTGTCTTTGCTACTGCAGAACTTTAATACCTTGCTGAGACATAACCCCCAGAAAAGGATTAATCAATAACAACGCAGAAGTAACTTTCCAAATGCATACTATCAATAAGATTTTTGGGGTACACATGGAAACAAAGTTTGACAAAACTTTTGCATTTCAAGATACAACCACATCTGATGACAACAAAAATGGAAAGTTCCAGATGAACAGGATATTTTATTTTATTGAGGCACTTTACACAAACATGTGCAATTGCCAGCTACTTTTGTGGTAAAATCACTTATGAATCTGTAACTGATTCACACCTAAATGTAAAACATGTCAGAAACATCTTTTTTTGACAGAAAACACCACTCAACTTCCACTATTTATCTTGAAGCCAGATGTGCTAACCTATTAATTATTGTTTCAGCTCAAACTGCTAATAATTCTGTGGGTGAGATATCTATACAGGTGGATGTCTCCACACATCCTGGAACTGGGGAGCATAAAGTCACTGTAAAAGGTAAGTTTCCAGCAGCTACCTTTAAAAAGAAAACAAGAACAAAGAGCAAACCCCCCAAGCACTACCTCTTAAGTAAAACGTACCAATAATAAAACAACAAATGTTATGTATTGCAGTACTCGTGAAGCTGTGAGTATGTTTCAGGTGATTGGGAATGTACTTTTCCCTTTCTCAACATCAGCAGAAGTCCAGATTATGCACTTAAGTACTGTCTGGGCTTCTCTGTGTAGACAGTTAAAATTTAAGTTATAAAGCTGGAGCTGTAACATGTCAAAATATCCTCTGTATTGCTTGCATATCATTTAACTCTCAAATCTGCAGCAAAGCTGGGTGGTGAATGACTGCACTAAGTATTAAGAATTTGCCTTTTTAACAAAATGTCTTTGTTCTGCACAACCTGAATTTCAGAGAGAAACCCAGTATCACTGAGATTAGTATAAGCTGTTTTTTTAATTACAGTGAAGGTAGCAGGCAAAAAAAAAAAAAGCTGTAAATGTAAAGGATTTGTAAAACATACGTTTGTGTTTGATACTGTTGAGCTCAAAAGTAGTCAGACATCTTTACTTGGCAGCAAACAGGCAAAGCTCCTCCTGGGCTTGCCAGGTATTGGTATCCTGTAGGAAAGCTCTCAGGTCACCTTTTGTTGGCTATACAAAGTCATGGAGGGTAATTAATTGGAACTCTTCCAATGGAATTTTATTTAACTTTGTTTCTTTCCTTTCTTTGTAGTTGTGGCAATCAATAATCTAAACTGGCAAACAACAGCCATGTTCCGGCCATTTGTGGAGGTTTGCATGTTAGGTCCTAAACTAAGTGACAAGAAAAGAAAACATGGAACCAAGACAAAGAGCAACACCTGGTCACCAAAATACAATGAAACTTTTCAATTGTAAGTCTCTTTTGTCTGCTAATTGCGTATTTTGTGCAAATTTTTGCAGTTAAATCAGTAAGAACATAAAAACCCATCCTAAGGCTGCTGTACACATCAAAATCCATAGGTATAGACACCACTTCAAAATTATTTACTAATTTGTATCTTAGTTTTATATGAAGATGAATGGCAGCCACTAAGCTCTCAGTCTTGAAAAAGCTGGTTAAAATGTATAATTCATTTCCCTATAGAGGAATAACTGGTTTTATACCTCGGAATCCATTGGCCTCAGTAGTTATTTGGACTGAAGCATTGATTATTACTACTACATATCTGGGGCTTTAGGACTGTAGAGCTATCTAAATATGTAAAGAGTTGCACATTGTTACCAGCACTGTTTATCTAATGCTGTTATAATTTAATCCTTAAAACTGTTAGAAACTTTCACCTAACCTGGAGTTTTAAATTTAGTACTTCTCACAGCACTTCTCAATGTTTACTCCTCTTCCCCTTTTTTAAGTGAGACCAGTTTATTTTCATCCTCTTATCCTTCAGCCCTGACTGGGAATGAGTTCAATCACTGTGTCTGACCACAAAGCTACTTTTGATGTTTGTTGCCAATGATTTTCTTTATATTTTTTGCAGTTGATTTAAAGTTGAGGTGCTGACAGTTGTAGAACTAGTTGAATATTTTATGTGCTTTCTAGGGAAAGGTAACTGCCTATTTCAGACATTGAACAAATTCTCTGTTCCTGTTCAGATCAGTGGGAACAGAAGCTACATCACCAGTAGCATCTGAAAAGTTAACTGTGTGGGAAGTTTAAAACTAAATGATATTTGTTGCAACAAAATGGAACTACGAAATTAAACTACCACTATCACTTTAATTTTTCCAAGATTTCTACAGTGAATTCATCCCTTGGGGGAATTAAACTGAACTCCTTGTTCTAAATTCACATTTTTTCATCCCCACAGCACGCTGAGTAACGAAGATAAGCCAGGAGCCTACGAACTTCACCTCTCAGTGAAAGATTACTGCTTTGCTCGGGAGGACCGAATCATCGGCATGACGGTCATTCAGCTGCAAAGCATCGCCGAGAAAGGGAGCTGTGCCTCCTGGTACCCCCTGCTGAGAAACATCTCTGTGGACGAGACTGGGCTCACCATCCTTAGAATACTTTCTCAGAGGAACAATGATGAAGTTGCTAAAGAGTTTGTAAGGCTTAAAACAGAAACAAGATCTGCTGAAGAAACGGCCTAAAATCCCCAAGTAATGCAAGATTGTCGCCGCCAGAACATAGATACAATGCTGTTGTCTGAATAGTGCATGCATGTGCAAATCTGTGGGAATGTTTAACTAACTATGTTTTCAGTGTTTGCCAGTACTTATGTACTATATTTGCAAGGTATGTCAAGGAGCTGTATATCTTTTATACATATTTTGGTCTTTGGTAAAGTAATTGTTCCAATGAAGTGCCAAAACTAAGAGTAAATGTTTCATCATATCTTTTGAAATGCTGATTTCACCTCATCACAATTCCTTTATTTTTTAACATTTATTAATAAATAATTAGTTTTTTTAATTGATTAATAGATTGTCTCTGTTAAATTACTGTGTTGCTTATTCTAAATTAAGTTACCTCCTTTACCATTATTTTAAAAATGAGGTACCTAGTTTTCTTCAAACTGTCATTTTATGCAAGCCTCATTTTAGGTGTCTTACTGATAACTTTTTCTATCATTACTACAGATGCAGTTACTTATAGAAAGTGTTTGTAATTTTATAATTACCAATATAAAGTAATGATTTTTGCATAAAAACTGAAAAAGGATGGAAATATTTTATGCTAATCTCTTTTCCAACCTTTCATAAATATCACTGTGAAGAAATGCTGTTTAAGCAGGTCCTCAAGAAGCTGTGCTTACCAGAGTTTGTTACTGATGTTTGATATCTTGAGATAACTTTGTTCTTCAAAACTGCCATGGTAATATCATATTTGTATTAAAAGAGTAAGTCAGTATCTGTAGAACAGACTGCTGTACAGTACAGTATATGTGCTTTTAAAAAGTCATTTTTTAAATGATATGGTACTGTACAAGGGTTGGTAGTTTGGGATATGTAATGTTGGTTTGTGGTTTGTTTCTAGAAATTGTTTATGAAAAGAAAAGATGCCGTGAGCATTTTCACTCAGAGTTATAACGTTGCTTTACATACTTAGCTGTAACATCAGTTAAGTGCTTTATTTCTTTAATTTTTTTTTAGAAATGTTCAACAGTTTGTACTTATGCAACATTACTATGTATTGCACTAAAGCAAACTCTGTGTCCTGTAAATATATTTAGTGAGGAATTGTAAAATAAAGTATGCAGAAACTGCTTTCTAGTTTTGTCATTTGATATTATTTATGTAACTATTGGGTTTATCTGCATGTGAAGCCCATGCAGTGGGCTTACTATATAACTTTATAATATATTAAAGTAAGATTTGCACTGTCTAGCATCTGGCTGTTTTATAAGTGTAAGATTTGACATTTCAGTATCCTAAAAAATACAATAAATTAGGTATACATATACATATATAATATAATGTTGTGCAATAATACACATAATGTTCTGTAATGATACAGATTTGTCATTGCTTTTGGTCACAAGTGGTTCTAGTTACACAGGTTGGGGTTTTCAGCTTTGCTTAGGGAAGAAATAACTAAGAGAAAGGAAGGACATGTAGCTGGAATGTTGATGCCAGCCTTCTAAAAATGTAGTGCCTGACTCCACACAGGTAATCCAGATTCTTTCCAGGAAACCCTTTTGGGAGATATTTAGATGAGATTTTAAGGATGTCTTTCAATACCCTCAATCCTCTTGCTTGAATAGTAAAAAGTAGATTTGTCCTAAGTATATTTAGACATTTAGAGAAAATCTGCACAGCCTTTAGAGAGTTAACAACGCTCCACTAAGATCATATCAGGGTGGGCTGGACCCAAGTTATCTTGTTAGTGCATATCCTGCTGAGAAGCATTGCAGAACATGGCAGAGGGACATCTTGGTGGGGATATTTTTTAAGTCACAACTTAACAAAACCACTTTTCCATGTGAAAAGTTAGGCTGATAATTAAACATTTTATAATGTAAGCATCAATGTAGACATTAAGTGACTTCTTAAACAATTCAGGCTTTGTAACTTTAATAGTATCAGGTGTGGCACCAGTAACTTCAAACAAATTAAAGAGGATTTAATCTGAGTATAATACTGCCCTCCTCAGAAATTTCCACTCGTATGTGTAAGTCAGTCACAGCACTTCCTAACTATATTTCTGCAAGGTATGGTCCAAAGTGTCAACAGTAGATGACATTTAAAACACAGAATCTATTAACAGTTAACAAAAATTAATGTAAGAGGATATCAGCAGACTCATTTTCAAATAAAAAAAGAGAAATAATGAAAAGATGAGATGGTTCCTGCTACATAACATTGTTGTGGATAAAATGCAAAGAGAATTCCACAATTTTTCATTTGTGGCTCTGTGAATTCAGAAAGGTTGGAGTAAACAGCTGCTGGGTTTTTTCCCCGAAGCACTTTCTTCATCTTTTTCTGAAGCTGTTTATTCTACTGTAAAATGGCCCACATTTTGGTGTATAATGTAATCACCACCCACTTAACTGTTTATCCCTGAGATTCACCTATAAAGGAATAATAACTGAATTAGTGAAGGAGGTCAGTTACTGCTCTTAGTGGGCTCTTAGCTGCACGCACTAGAAGTAATCAGGCAAGCTGATAAAGCCAACCCTTATAATCTACAGCTTTACACAGTGCACTTTAATGTTTCACTGCTTTTAACAGAGATATTTACTTGCTATATCAAAATTTGTCAAGTGGAAGATAAGAGGAAAGGATGTTAACTCTAGACCACAGGACTGTTTTCAACATTGTTATGAATCAAAATACAAGTCTATGCAATTCTGTAGCACAAGCAGTTGGAACTCACACATTTCATGTAATCAAAATGCTTGATAAGGAAGAGTTTTCAGTGCTGTTTTAAAAGCTGTTATAATCTCTTCTAGGGAAGTAAATATTCCATTAAAAAAAAAAAAAGATATTTTCAATCTATGAGAAAATTTTCTTAATTCAACTGAGCTAAACTTGGTCAACTGACAGATGGTTCTGCAGTTTCACTTCCCTGCAACAACTGATGTAATCAAAACTCTAACTGGAATTCCATTTGTATTGGTTTGATAAGATAGCAAATATAAATACACACACTTAGAGAAATAAAGGAGAAAAGAAAGAAGGAAGAGCAGCAAGATTAATTGGAGAACAAATTTTCCATTCTCCAAGGAACAGTTACAACATGGTAGTGCACCTGAATAAAACAAATATGTTTAGAGAAGCCTGTGATATGACAGCACTTCAAGTTAACAAGTATACTCAGGACTGACAGTTTTATATAACTGTTCCATAAGGGTTGAGAGAGAGATTTTTTCCCTTTTTATTTTGTTTTCTAGGATGGAAATGTAATAACCAAATATAGGAACTGACTTAAATTTTTCTCAAAGTGTTTCACAGCTAATAGCTGACAAAAAAGGGAATTAGTAATGTGTGAATTAAATGCATAAATATAAGAAGCTAACACTAGCTGTCATTCTGAAACCTAAAGCAACTTATCTAAAATAATTTAATTTTTGTCTAATGTCATATTTAAACAACTCCTACATTTAAGAACACAGCACTTGAACTGGCCTTTCCTTTTCACATGGACTCCAAACCCAGGAAACTACTAAAATTGGAGATGGAACTAGATGTGCATAGTTATTCATACCTTTTGTCTCTTCTAGGGAGTTAAATTTACATCCAAATAAGAAATTCATGAGTATTGGGCCATCACCAAGAGACTCAACCAGTCCCAGCAACAAAATATGAAAAGATTTTTCAAATTACTTCCTCCTTATCTATAATCTTTTCAATACAAATAAATCTAGACTTCAGTAAGATTTAAATTTCCTTATGTCACCTATGTTCCATCACTGAAAATGCCCCTAAGACATATTTTACTGCATTGTAAGTAATTGTTAAAAGTTTGTCTGTATGCTAAAAGAACCAAGGGATTTCATAAGGAATTCAAGAAATGCATGTGCAAATGCTACCATTGGGCTGAGGGAGGCATCACTACTGAATTACTTGAGAAGCTTACAGAACAGAAATAACAAACCAATAATTTTCATTATTTTTCTCTAATCTTTTTTACCTGTTTTCATTGGTATTCTCATGCTAGTGACTGTAGAAATCAAATTTGTGGGCAAATACTGAAAACAGAATAATAATTTACCATTACTGTATTAGTCTGAATTAAATATACATTTCTTACAAATCCCTTGAAATCTAAAGAGCTGAACAAATATGTGGAGAATATTAAATTATTGTATTAAATTTAGCCAGCAGACACAAAATTAACATAAATGGATTCAGTGTTATTTGTAAAATACAACTGGGCAAGTGTTGGAAAGCATTCAGTTGTTTACATGTGCTTATTTTGCTGGTATTTTCATACCATTGTGTTTACATTTTCACACCAGATATGTGTGATTGACTTGTAGTATCAAAAATTCACGGAAATGAATTTTCAGGAAAGAAATTCTAAATTATTTTAGAATTCAGAATTTAGAAATTATACTCAAGGTATGGGATACAAACACTCCACTGTTCCTAATAAGCAGAACTGACGTATTCCAAAAAAGATGTCACTGTAAGTATTTGTTGAGATACTTTAATTTTTCTGTGTCTGGAGGATATCTGCCTCTCCTGTGTGTTCTACACTGAGTGAATGCATGCACACACTACAGAGTATGAATTAATTTCTAAATGATGAATCTACAAAATCTAATTTGAAGACAAACCCAATAGAGAAGAAAATTATTGAAAAAGAAATTTTTCAAACAGATTCTCTGCCTGAAAGTCAGCTTCCCTAAAGAAACTGTTCCTAAATGACTCATAGCTTACGACTATTTCATTATGAGAATTCGGTTTCAGATTTCAAAGACTGCAGCAATCACAGCTGAAAGCCTTCCCTATGAATTTAGCTACATTAATTAATCACTGCAGAATATGAAATAACAAGTGGGTATACTGCAAACTTTGTAATGAAAGCCATTAAAACGTCATAGATTAATTTTCAAATAAATAAATACAAGATAATTAGAAAAATTAATCCTAGGAAGAAAAGTCTGCTCTTTAATATTTTTCTATTATTTCTGCATACCATGATACTGAAGTTACAGTAGTAGACTAAATACAGTCCCAGAGCTCGATCTGCATTGCCCTGGAGTCTCATGTAAGTTAACACCTATTTATCTAGTTTTTAGGAACAATAGTAGGAGGTCCAGGCAAAGGGGACAAACCACAGAGCATCCCGGGCCACAGAACCAGCTCACGGAGCTGTTCCCAGCTCTGGTCTGTAAACTGGGCATATATTGTTGTTTGACTATATGCATAAAGGAAAAAAATAAACCTACACTGGTAAGCACAAGTGAATTAACTGGAGCTGTGACAGACTCAGAAAAATATCAGAGATCCCCATCTTCACTTGCCCTGGATATACAAGGGCTTGTTGACAATAACAGAGGCAGCTCTAACTTTCATTCCTGTGAAGCCTAAGAGGGCTTACACGTTTTGTTCAATAATATTTACCCATTTAAGCAGGAAGTTTTTAGTTGCTGAGTGATGGCAGCTGACTGCAATGAGAACTAAGCCTCCAGGCCTGAGGTCACGACAGTGAGAAAACAAATGTCAATTACTGACTAGTGGAATCAAAAAAATGAAAAGGAATTGCTAAAATATGCACTGAACAGTAGAACACTAATGGAAAACTACAGCACAGTGAATACACTCCCCTCCTCTAGATAACAGTCTCCTAGATTTGTTTAAGCAAAGACAATGCCTGCTAGCTTGATTTGAGCTCACAACACATGGGAGGGCTTTGTCCACAAAAACCACCCAGTGTTTATACGCATCACACAGCAGTCATACACAGGAAAAGCACTGCATACAAGTAATTTGGATACACAGAATAGCTGTACTCTATGGGGAGATACTCAGAGGGAAAAAAAAGAAGGAAAAAAAGGAGGAATGGATGTGGAAGAGGGCTGACAGGCAGTGCAGATTCAGATTGCATTCCTTAACTCGTAGCAGAGTCAGAAGACGCTCTACACAGGTGTGACTGTGATTTAACAGACAGAAAGGTAGATCTGTGTCTGTGTTTTTGTCATGTTCTAGTCTAGTCCAAGAGTTTCTTCTGTCAATTGTGATTCCAGTGGAGGTACAAGACAGAATTCGATCCCTGAGAGGGTCTCTCTCTTCCCACTCCTTTTGTACTCAGTGGAGTC